GAGGTGGGGCGCGAGGGGAGAGGAGGGAGTGGGGCGTGTGGGGGAGAGGAGAGGTGGGGTGCGAGGGGAGAGCAGAGCTGGGGCGCGAGGAAAGAGGAGGGAGAGGGGCGAGAGGGGAGAGGAGGGAGTGGGACGAGTATTGTTGAGAGAGGAGAGTGGGGAGAATGCGAAGTGGAGAGGTGGAGAGTAGAGCGAGTAAACGTCCAACAATCTTACCTGCAACACACTTGGTCTGAATATGTTTTTTGAGAAATCTAAAATAAAAAAAGGGTGGAGACAAAAGCAAGTAAATGTCAAACCAGGTCACCTGCAACACACTTGGTCGCGGTTATCCCATAGCCTTTAGGGCACGCGCAGTAAGGCACCTGCACCGAAGGATCGTCAGTCGCAGGCACGGTTTTGCAGGTTGCTCCAGTGGGGCAAGCGCCACAGGGTGAGTCTGAGGGGCGGGGTGGGGATGGGTGGAGTGCGGTATGATCTCTGAGGCACCTCAAACAGCAGTAAGGCACCTGCACTGCACTGTTGTCACTCCCAGGCACGGTCTTGCAGGTTGCTCCAGAGGGGCAGGCGCCACAGGGTGAGTCTCAGGGGCGGGGTGGGGATGGGTGCAGTGCGGTATGATCTTTGAGACGCCTCAAACAGCAGCAAGGCACCTGCACTGCACTGTTGTCACTCCCAGGCACGGTCTTGCAGGTTGCTCCAGAGGGGCAGGCGCCATAGGGTGAGTCTCAGGGGCGGGGTGGGGATGGGTGCAGTGCGGTATGTAGTGAATAATTGAGGCACCAGAGGGCCAGGCAGGGTGAGGCTGAGGAAGGCAAAATGCACAGGGAGACGAAAAATCCTATGGGAGACGCAAGGGAGAGGGAGAAGCAAGTGCAAGAGAGAGAAGCAAGTGCAAGTGCAAGAGCAAGTGCAAGGGAGGGAGTGGTAGGTCTGCGGAAATTCTCTTGGGGGCGAGGGGGAGAGGGGGAGTGGGGCTCCAAAAAAACGAGCTGTTTGAGAACTAAGAAAAAAAAAGAGAGAGAGAGAGAAAAAAGGTACACTCACCCCACTGGCAGTAGCACCCACCGTTCTCATCAGGCGCCACCAGGCTCACAGCCCAGTGCATCACAGGGAGCATCGATGCCAATGACAGAGGAGAAAGGGCTGCGTGAAAGCGTGAATCAGAGGAGGGAGGCCCTCACTCACCCCACTGGCAGTAGCGCTCGCCGTTCTCATCCACCACACATGTGCCACCAGGCTCACAGCCCAACACGTCACAGGGAGCATCGGTGCAAAGAACAGAGGCAACTGAAGCCCACTTGCGGAGGTTCTTTTTGGTGCTGGGCAACCTGCAGGGCATGGCGTGGCAAGAGGAAGCACAAGAAATTGCATTTGAGGCGCGTCACAGGGAACATCGGAGCAAAGAACAGACGCCACGGACGCCCACTTACGGAGGTTCTTTTTGGTGCTGGGGAACCTGTAAGGCGTGGTGCGGCAAGAGGAAGCACAAGAAATTGCATTTGAGGCGCATCACGGGGAGCATCGGTGCAGAGAATAGAGGCCACGGAAGCGCACTTGCGGAGGTTCTTTTTGGTGCTGGGGAACCTGCAGGGCGTGGTGCGGCAAGAGGAAGCACAAGAAATTGCATTTGAGGCGCATCACAGGGAGCATCGGTGCAGAGGACAGAGGCCACGGAAGCGCACTTGCGGAGGTTCTTTCTGGGGAACCTGCAGGAAGTGGCCCAGGGGAAGCACCAGAGATGGCTTTTGAGGCGCCACAAAAGTGCATCGATGCAGAGGAGAGATGAAGAGGAGAGATGAAGAGGAGAGATGAAGAGGACAGAGGCACCCGTCACTCACATGGCAGCAGTAGACCCCGGGTTGTCCATGCTATCAAGCTCCGTGCCCTGGCAGCCGCCCTTCCCAAAGAACTTGACTCGTGAGCACGCGAAACCTGCTGCCGTGCTACTCGAACCCGCGCCGCCCGAGCCCCCACGGCCCTTTTTGAGACGTCTCAAAAATACCCTCATTACACGTGGCTACTCGAACCCCCGCCGCCCGAGCCCCCACGGCCCTTCCACCACACCTGCGCGCTCTTCCCTCTCGCGCTTTTGGGCACAGCCACGCAGCGCTGGCTGCCGAAGCTCAGCCGAGCCTTGCCCACAGCCACGGTTGTGGCGAACTGGAGCTCGTTACCAGCTCCATACGGATTCTGCAGCATGCTACGGTGGCCCGTGCGGTGAGCCATGCTTTTCACCGTGTCGTCCCCATACGCTGCGTTCATCATCTGAGCTGCTGCAGGGGACAAGGGAGGACGTGCGGAGAAGAGAAGAGAGGGCCGATATGAGAGAGCAGAAAGAGTAGAGACAAGAGGAGATCAAGGCAACGGCTGACCACAAGTCAGGCACTTGGCAGCAATGAGAGAGCAGTAGACTGACCGGCGATGAGGGCAAGGGCGAGCAGCAGGAGGCCGGCAGGAGAGGCGCGCATCGACCCCATGATGATGATGACGGCGGGGTCCCGCGGGAGAGGCGGTGGAAGAGGCGCAACAGACGAGAGCTTGTGCGGTGACGTACGGTTCACTCCGGCGTAGAGTCACGCGGAGTATGATGGTACGGTGTAGCGTGCGGAGTGTAGGTAAGGTGGGTAGAATGACGGATACAACTCCAACGGAAAGGATAGTCCAACGCAAGGAGAACCGGAAGGAGAATGCTCGAACCACAGCTTTGGAAAAATGGCGTGGGGAGATGGTTTAATATATATTGCGAGTTGCGATCAAGGAGCAAGCGTAATAGCTGCCGTGCCATGGCAAATCGTACGGGCGAAACCCGTGCTTGGCTCGAGTCAATCGCTCGAAACGATAATTATGCAATCTTTAGGAACGCGGTATGTGCTAAGCTCGCGTGAGTCGCAGGGACAAGCAGGAACGCGACGAACGAAGGGTCGCTTAGAATGGACGAAATGGACTAGCGTTCGCGAGCCAATGGCACAACGCGGTTGCTTGCAACGAGGCGTTTTCAGATCGCGCCGTCCAATCAAGTTTGCGTGGAAATAATACACGCGAGAAACTTGAGAACCAGCAGTTGCATTATACTTGCGAGGAGCAGTATGCGACTGCGCAGGAGCACCTAACGCTCCCCCTTTTTGACGAGTCGTTGCAATGAGTAAGGTAGGGAAGCGGGAATGCTAGACTGATTGACTACTGGACTGATGTGACACGTTTGGAGGGCTTCAACCTCGGGATTGGAATTACAGTACTAACGAAGGGTTCTAGCTGAGGTGACTGTTCGGGCTGGTGACACAAATTCTATATTATCTGTAATAAAATTACAGTAAATGGTGGTGAGACGCAGGAACAGTTTAGTACGTAGTATGAAAGTGTGTAGCGCTACATGTAGTAGTTTCTTATGTGTGCTGTGTAACACTGGTAGCTTGTTACAAATCTGTACATAACACCATATGATTGTGCTGTGGAAGGGATGCGTGACTACTAGTCACTCTCATCTCATGGTAATTAAAGAAAGAGGCTTCAGGTTAGATCCAACAAGTCGTACATTTCAACAGTTTCATATGCTACACGTACAGCTCTACAAGCAATCCTGCATAGGGATGACAAGAAATACGATTCTGCACAGAATTTCCATCGAGTGGAGAGAAGGAAAGCTCATACTAAAATGGAGAGAAGAGGATCAGAGGGGAAAGGAGAAGCCATCCACGTCACCCTACTCAGTGCACCAAATTGAGCGAACAGCAATAGCTGCTGGGATGTCCCTGGTTGATGGCAACAAGGGGAGGACAAGGGGAAAAAGATGACTCAAGAAATGTATCACTTTGGTGATCCGTGTAAAAAGGGAAGTGGAAAAGCTGTGCAAGTGTGCAGGTGGAAAAGGAGAAAGAACTCACGGTTCATAATATCCAACAAATGGCGAAGGAGTTGTGAAGGGGCCTCCACGGACTGGATCGTCTTCACAGTTATCTGTTGAGAAATACTCGATACTGGCGCATTTCGGAGCATCGTCAGTGTTTTCAACAGTATACATTGTCCTGTACTGGCCAGCTACAGCAGTTGGGAGTTGAGTGCAGTCACTCAGGTTGAGGCGTAAGGTGTAGGGTCGAGATGAGCTGTCCTTGGCTGCTGGATTTGCAATTAGAGTCATGCTGTATGAAGCGACCTCAGAAGCCCAACCTGAGAAAGAAAGAGTGGCAAAAAAGGACGGACTCAGAGAGAAGTGTAGGTCTGCGGCTTTTCATGCATTCCCACATTCATACATGCATGGGAACATTCCCACAACACCAGCATCAGCCGTTCAACAAACTTCGCAGAGCGAGAAATGTGAAGCAAGAAGAGTGGCGAGAGTGGAGAGTGGAGAGTGGGATGGGATGAACGGGGAGAGGAGAGAACGGAGAGGGTTGAGCAAGCGAGTGTGTGTCAAACCATCTCACCCGCAACACACTTGGTCTCGGTAATCCCAGAGCCTTGAGGGCACGTGCAGGAAGGCACCTGCACCGACGGGTAGTATCTCGCAGGCACGGTCTTGCAGGTGGCTCCAGTGGGGCAGACGCCACAGGGCGAGTCTGAGGGGTTGGGGATGGGTGCAGTGCGGTATGATTCTTTAGGCACCTCAAAGAACAGTGAGGCACCTGCACTGACGGGTAGTATCGGGCAGGCACGGTTTTGCAGGTGGCTCCAGTGGGGCCGACGCCACAGGGTGAGTCTGAAAAGGGGGGGGTGGAGATGGGTGCAGTGCGGTATCTGAGTGCACTTGCTAGTGGGGGGAAGATTCAGAGGGGCAGGTGCCACAGGGTGAGGGTGAGTCTGAGGAAGGCAGAATGCAATGGAGAGGCACGCAGGCAGAAAGACAAGCATGGCAGTTCAACGCGTCACAGGCAGCATCGGAGCAGAGAACAGAAAAGAGTTTTGAGGCGCCTCAAAACGCGACACAGGCAGCATCGGAGCAGAGAACAGAGAAGAGTTGACTGTGTGAAAGCCTGAAGCCAGAGAGGGAGGGCCTCACTCACCCCACTTGCAGTAGCGCTCTCCGTTTCCATCCACCTCACATTTGCCACCAGGCTCACAGCCCAATGCGTCACAGGCAGGATCTGCAGCAGAGGCGAGCACAACGGGGTGTCAAACAAAGTAAGGATCACAGAACGCCATACGGGCAATTGCCAAGGTTCCGCTTGCCACAGAGAAAGGCATCGCTCGAAAACAAGCAATGCGATGGGTCACACGCACCCTTTGCAATCACACCCTTCCAAATCGCACCCTTTAAATCACACCTGGAAAATCACACCTCTCGAAATCACACCCTTCGTAATCAAATCACACCCTCTGATAAACGTACCTCTGACGACCTCTGGCGGGGTCTCTTCCACTTCGTTCAGGAACATCGCACAGAACAGAAGCCACTGAAGCCCCCTTGCGAAGCTTCTTCTCGCTGCTGGGGAACCTGAAGGCCGTGGCAAGTGTAGAAAATGCTAAAAGACTGTTCTTAAAATCCACTTTGCTCCCTTGCCTCCCCATCTTCATCCCTCCCCACTCCTCCCCATCTCCACCCCTCCCCACTCCTCCCCAAGTCATGCAATGCGATACTCGTGTTGTCTTGTCTCACCATGCCTCCCTCACACACGGCCACCTCACATCCACACACATTCCAACGCTCACATGGCATGGCACCGCTGACACACACCACCCACCACTCACACACCACCCACAACAATCTCAACCCACCACTCACATAACATCAGTCGTATCAGGGTTGACCATGCTATCCACCTCCTTGCCCGGGCAGCCGTCCTTCCCAGACAACTTGATTTGCGAGCAAGTGAAACCTGCTGCATTGCTTCTCAAATCCACTCACATGACATTAGTCGTATCATGTTATCCACGTTATCCACTCACAGGGTTGACCATGTTACCCACTGCCTTGCCCTGGCACCCGCGCTTTGCAACCATTCACAGCACTCACCACCCAAACACCACCCACCACTCACACCTCTGGTACGCCACCCACCACTCACATGACATCAGTCGTATCAGGGTTGACCATGCTATCAACCACCTTGCCCTGGCACCCGCGCTTCCCAGGGAACTTGACCTGTGAGCAATTGAAACCTGCTGTCTTGCTTCTCAAATCCACTCACATGGCATCAGTAGTTTCGGGATTGACTATGTTATCCACTGCCTTGCCCTGGCACCCGCGCTTCCCACCCAACATGCACAGCACTCACAACCCACTACTCACGACACTCACAACACTCACAACACTCACACACCCATCACTTACATGGCATCAGACGTCTCGGGATTGACCATGCTATCCACCGCCTTGCCCTGGCACCCGCGTTTCCCAAAGAGCTTGACCTGTGAGCACGCGACACCTGTCGCCCCGCCGCCAGAACCCACGTTGCTCGAGCCCCCCCGGCCGTTCCACCACACCTTCACGCTCTTCCGCCCCGCCTTCTTGGGCACGCTCACGCAGCGCTGCCTGCTGAAGCTCAACCGCGCCGTACCCAGCAGCACCGTTGTGGTAACCCCACTGGTCTCCTGCGCAACCCTCGCATTGACTTTCCTGGTCGTTGCTTCCGCAACCGTCTCTTCTCCAGCTCCATACGCGGCATTTAGCATGATTCGCAGTGCCGTGCCTTGACTCATGGATTTCACAGTGTCATCGCCATACGCGGTCTTCATCAACTGAACTGCTGCAAGGGACAAGGAACGGGGCGTGCATAGAAGAGAACAGGGAAGTAGGGAACAGGGAGAAAGGCATACATGGGAAAACTCACAAGTTGATGCAAGCGCTGACCACAAGTCAATGCAAGCGCTGACCACAAGTCAATGCAAGCGCTGACCACAAGTCACTAACATTGGCGAAGAGTTCGCGGAAATGAGAGAAGGCAATGAGAGAGCAGCGGACTGACCGGCGATGAGGGCAAGGGCGAGCAGCAGGAGGCCGGCAGGAGAGGCGCGCATCGACCCCATGATGATGACGGCGGGGGTCCCGCGGGAGAGACGGCGGAAATGGCGGCGGAGGAGGCGCCGGAAGAGGCGCAACAGACGAGAGCTCGTGCTATAATGTGCGGTTTACGTCGATTCAATGTTACACGGAGTGTGATCCGGAGTGTTATGCGGAGTGTAGGCAGGTGGGTGGAATGACGGATATTCCAGCGCAAGAATAGTCCTATGACAGAAGCTATGAAAGGACAGAACCGGAAGACTTTTGAGGCGCCTCAAAAGTCGTGGAGTGTTACGCGGAGTGTAGGTAGGTAGTTGGAATGACGGATATTCCAGCGCAAGAATGATATTTCTATGACAGAAGCTATGAATGGACAGAACCGGAAGAAAAACGGTACGAAGCATAGAGCTAGACGAATGGCAGGTTTGCTTCGGGCGTTGACAATGCTGTAAGTTGTGCTGTGCGTTACGATCATAAGCCAACAGCCGCAGAGCCATCGCAGCGAGCTATAGGAAGCGTGGATCAGAGTCAATCGTTGGAAATAATAATAATGTAAACTTGAGTCTAGGAACGCGGTATGTGCTTAGCTCGCGTGAGTCGCGGGGACGACCCAATCTGAATTTAGGAACGCGATCCAACCCTCAATTGAATCGCACGAAATGGACAACCGCTCGCGAACCAATGGCGAAGCGGAGAGGCTTCCAGCAAGGCCTCCGTTTGTGGCTTCCAATCGGGTTGAGCATTGGGAATGGTACAGGATCAGAATCTGGAACCAGCAGCTGCATTATACGATCGACGAGCAGCAGCATGCGACTCAGGCTCGTCGCACTGGATTGTGTAGGAAAGAAAGAATCAGGATCACTAGTTGTTGGATAACGCGTTCCAAACCCAGACCTGATGCCAAATATCGCATTCCAATATCGCATAGATACTAGTTGGGAACTGAGTTGGGAAGGGATATCGAGGTTGCCTTTCCCGCCTATGCTCACGAACTCGTCTCATAGAAACATACTCGGTTACAACAATTCCTGGACTATCGATCAAAGTTCAATTCTGAGCTATTATCATACACCTGATTATGAATAGGAATGTGGTGTTTGTTGCCTGAAATCTGTATATTCTATCTCATGCAATTGGGCAAACAAGACGTTTCAATTTACAAGCGGGGAAGACAAGAAAGCGTTGACTGGCGAAGATGGTAACAGCAAAACGTGTACCTGACACAGGTATCTGGTGAGCAAATGAAGCCCCTTTATCCGACTAATAGCCCCCCACCCCAAGATTAATACAGCCACTTCTAGTGTAAACATCTCAATATACCGGTAAGATTGAAACCAAGGATCCCGAAACTTCTGACTCTGGCGATTTGACCATGCACTTGTCACGCACCAGCGTGTGGCCGATATCTAATGCCTAACGCAGAACTGGAAAGTTTCTGTTTGGTCCTGACACCCAAGCACCCCCTATGTTTACTAGGGGTAGGATTACATCCCTGGTGGGAGAAGACTGAAACACTTTACAGAGCGCGTATATCCAGGGCTCTGCATGTTCCTGTTAAACGGTGCAAACGAGGTGAGGGGATGACAAACAGAAAAAAGGATGATTCTGAAACGCTGCCTGACAAGTGGAGCAGAAAGTTAAGTGAGAAGGTAGTGCAGTGCAGGCATCATGATGATGATAATGATGATGATAATGGAAAGCACTCAGAAAACCACTTACAGTTGAACCTTTGTATCGAGCCGCTTCTCGAGCGAAAAAAGCTGAGAATCAGGGTTCCCCTCGCAGTTGTCAGTACTGAATTCCTGGTATTTATAGCAATACGCATTGGACTTGACACTGTATACGGTATACTTTGCAGTGTACTTTCCAGCCACTGCAGCAGGGAACTGCGTGCAACCGTCCACGTTATAGCGGAGGGTGTAGGGCCGGGAGGTGTAGTCCTTGGCTGCTGGATTCGCGATGAATGTGTAGCTGTTGCCACCAACTGTGTCTTTTCCTCCTGAAAAAAGAGCGGGAAACAGAAGGGCCCGGTAAAACGTTTTCTTCCATCTTATTTAATGGTTTTGCTCTAGCCATATTGCATTCTTCTGCCCACACAGCCATGGTATTAGAGAGGTTGTCAAGAGAGGGAGCATGCATTGACCAAGCTCACATTGGGCACATTTGGTGGCAGTCTAGGGCGCGTGAGGAGTGTGTAGGGAGAGTGAGGAGTGCGTAGGGCGAGTGAGGAGAGAGTAGGGCGCGTGAGGAGTGCGTAGGGCGAGTGAGGAGAGAGTAGGGCGAGTGAGGAGAGAGTAGGGCGAGTGAGGAGAGAGTAGGGCGAGTGAGGAGAGAGTAGGGCGAGTGAGGAGAGGAGAGAGCGGAGACTCACCCGCAACACATTCGGTGGCGGTCATCCCGTAGCCTGAAGGGCACTCGCAGTAAGGCACTTGCACCACAATGCTACCCTTTGATGGCACGGTCTTGCAGGTGGCTCCAGTGGGACAGCTGCCACAGGGTGAGTCTGAGAGGTTGGGATGGGTGCAGTGCGGTATGTGAGGGCAAGTGGGTGAGGCGCCACAGGGTGAGGCACTCGCATTAAGGCACCTGGATTGGAATGCTGCCCTTTGATGGCATGGTCTTGCAGGTGGCTCCAGTGGGGCAGGTGCCACAGGGTGAGTCTGAGAAGGGGGGTGGAGATGGGTGCAGTGCGGTACATCAGTGCAATGGTAGGGGGGGAAGTAAGGCACTTGTATCAGAGTGTTGGTCTTTGCAGGCACGGTCTTGCTGGTGGCTCCAGTGGGACAGCTGCCACAGGGCGATTCTGAGAGGTTGGGATGGGTGCAGTGCGGTCTGTGAGTGCACGGACGCACAAATGCACATGCAATGCAAGTGCGGATGCGTCTTGATGTGCGAGTGCACGTGTTGATGGGAGCACAGGAAAGAAAGAAGAGGAGAGAAAAAAAAGCTCACCCCACTGGCAGAAGCACTCTCCGTTCTGGTCCTTCACACAGGTGCCACCAGGCTCACAGCCCAACGTGATAAAAGAAGATTTTTGAGACATCTCAAATCACTCACCCCACTGGCAGTAGCGCTCTCCGTTCTGGTCCTTCACACAGGTGCCATCCGGCTCACAACCCAGCGCGTCACATGCACGGTCAACTGCAACACAGGCGAACAGAAAGGGGCAGCAAAGAAAGATATGGGAATGCCACCTCTCACACAGGTGCCATTTGGCTCACAAGCCAATGCGTCACACGCACGATTAACTGCAGAGGCGAAAAGAAAGGGGCAGCAAAGAAAGATATGCCCAATGCCTTACATGCAGAATATTTTGCAGCACAGAATATTCTGCACCACAGAATATTCTGCACCACAGAATATTCTGTGACACAGAGACAAGAGGAATTTGCATCTAAGCAGCATCAGATTACTCGCCCTTCGAAATCACACGGCCTAATGTCACTCCCTTTTCAAAAAAGGGCTTGCAGCGAAGCCAAATTCCCTCTTAATGGGTCAATAGAGGACGGACCAGCATCGCATAGAACAAACGGCATTGCTTGTGTTTTGAGTTGACTCCAAAGGGGTCAGCGACGCACCAACAATGCATATAACAGTCGGCATTGCAGGAGTCGACTCTAAAAGAAGACAGCAAACGACGCACCAGTGTCACAAAGGACAGACGCCAAAGCAGCCAACTTGAAGAGATGCGGAAGGCACATGGCAGAGGACAGAGGACAGTGAAGCCCACTTGTGCTTCTGACTTGACTCTAAAGGGAAAAGCAAAGGGGACAGCAAAGGACGCACCAGTGTCGCACAGGACAGATGCCACCGAAGCCCACTTGCTAACCGTCTTCTCGCTGCTCGGGAACCTGAGGGGGTTGCAAGGGGAAGAATAAGAAATATCAACAGCGTGTTAAGAAAGCACTTTAATTTTGTCCCCTCCCCTCCCCTCCCCTCCCTCCCCACCCCTTCCCTCCCCACTTGAACTAACAAGGACGCATCTCCTGCGCGGGTTGACTATGCTCTCAAAGCGAATTTCAAAGCAACCTTCCCTCCCCTATTTTCCCGTCCCCTCTCTTTCCCTCCGAACTCCAACTCACAGCAGCATGCCAGCAGTGCGCGGGTTGACCGCGCTGTCCAGCGCCTTGCCCTTGCAGCCGCCCTTCCCTCCCCTCCCCTCCCCTTGCAGCCACCCTTCCCTCCCCTCCCCTCCCCTTGCAGCCACCCTTCCCTCCCCTCCCCTCCCCTTGCAGCCACCCTTCCCCCCCCTCCCCTTACTTCCCTTCCCTTCCCGCCCCCTCCCCTCCCCTCCCCATTCCAACTCACAGCAGCATGCCAGCAGTGCGCGGGTTGACCGCGTTGTCCACCGCCTTGCCCTTGCAGCCGGCCTTCCCGAAGAACTTGACCTGCGCGCACTGCACGCCCTTCGCCGCGCTGCCCGAACCCGGGGAGCTAGAGGCCCCCCCCGCGGAGCTGGAGGGGTCACTGCCCTTCCACCAGACTGTCACGTTGCTCCGCATCGCCTTCTTGGGCACGCTCACGCAGCGCTTCGCGCTGAAGCTCAGCCGCGAAGTTCCCACATCCACCTCCGTCGCAACGACGCTGGCGCTGCCGCTGGTGGAGGCAGCGAGCATGCTACGGTGTGTCACGCTCTTCACCGCTCCCACCTCCACCTCCGTCGCAACCACGCTGGCGCTGCCGCTGGTGGCGCTGCCGCTGCTGGAGCTAGAGAGCATGCTCCGGTGCGTCACGCTTTTCACCGTGTCGTCGTCATACGCTGCCGTAATAATCTCAACTGCTGCAGCGGACAAGGAAGCCGCTGTGCGGAGAAGAAAACAGAGAGCAGGCATGAGAGATCAGGAGCGCGGAGAAGTTAGGATAGGGCTGAAAACACCTTAGAGGTGGATAACAGAAGGGAGTAGGAAGGAAGAAGCAGCAGGAAAGGCATCTAATGATCTGAGAGCTAATTATGAGCTAAAGATTTGGCAAAAATGAGATCAAAGAAGACTGACCACAAGGTGACTCTTGAGTCGACTCAAAAGTCACCCCATGAGAGCGAAGAAGACTGACCACAGATTAGGGCAAGGGCGAGGAGAAGGATTCCGGCAGGCGAGGCGCGCATTGTCATGATGACGGCGGGAGGCGGCGGAAGTGGCGGAACAGACGAGAGGTCGTGCTGCGACGTGCTGTTCACGTTGGTGTAGAGCCACGCCACGCGTAGTGTGATGTTACGGTGTAACGAGCGGAGTGTTTTGAGACGTCTCAAAAGACGTGCTGTTCACGTCAGTGTAGAGCCACGCGTAGTTTGATCGTACGGTGTAGCGAGCCGAGTGTAGGTAAGGTGGGTAGCGTGAGTGGATAAACTACCCTAACGGAAAGGATAGTCCGACGCAAGGAGAACTGGAAGGAAAATGCTTGAATTACAGAGATTGAAGAATGGCAGGGGACTGTGCTGTGATATATGTTGCGAGTTGCGATCCTGGAGCAAGCGTACTAGCTGCCGTGCCATGGCGAATCCTACGGGCGAAACCCGTGCTTGGCTCGAGTCAATCGCTTGAAATAATAATAATGCAATCATTAGGAACGCGGTATGTTCTCAGCTGGCGTGAATTGCGGGGACGAGCGAGTTTGGATCTTAGGAACGCGATACGAACGACGGGTCACCTACAACGGACGAAATGGACTAGCGTTAGCGAGCCAATAGCGCAACGCAGAGGCTTCCAGCAAGAAAGTTTCCGTTTGTTACCTCCAATCGGGATCAGGAGCATTATATCGACCTGCATTATTCGCCTCATCACGCTGGGATTGGAAGGAATGGTGGCTTTTCTCTTGTGAAGCGTCTATTGCTGACCCGAATCTCAAGACAGGCGTACAGTATCCAGAAACACAGCGCGGTGAGGTTTGGGGGAGTCCGCTGAGGAATGTGGGATTGCGAAGAAGTCTTCTTTCGCCACATCCCGTCTCTGGAAAGCGATATGATTCGACAAGGGATATCACACAAAGGCGAACTCGAAGTAACAGAGTCTCGTCGAAAGGAGTGTCGCAGACCTCAATTGGACCACGAAACTGACTTTCGCCTGAAACACCTCCACCACCCCCGCAAGAAAGAACGCGATAGCTCGAAACAAAATTCGAGGGAGATCGTGACCGTCCACTTAGGTCAAACACCGCGAGATTCTCTTTCCCGCCATTTCCCCACAGGCTCATCTGGTCAGCCATATACTCGTTTCAGTGTCTTACATGGATTCATAACGCGACTTGAACATTTGAGCATGTTTGCCTGGATTCTCCAAAACTTTTGACTAGACATAACATCCACATCCAATCCTTACACTGTTCAGCCTCATTCGTGGGTGTATGCAGATCCCTCTGAGATCTAAAAGGTCCAAGCTTATGTTGAATTCACAAAGTGTTTTCCATTCCATCAAATCGAATACATGCAAAGTGTTATCACTTCACTTCTTTACGAACTAGCTGTTGCCACTGGTGCTGCTGCCAGTGCTGCTGCCGACGGTACTGTCGGTGGTGGTTGGTTTGACGGTGCTGCTGCCAGGGGTGCTGCTGCCAGGGGTGCTGCTGCCAGGGGTGCTGCTGCCAGGGGTGCTGCTGCCGGTGGTGGTGCTGTCGGTGGCGGTGCTGCCGGCGGTGGTGGTCTCTGCACAACAAAAACGACACAAGAATACTGGCTTAAGCCTCAGCTGTGGCTGAGCACGCATTAAAACACACTCCATCATTTCAAAACATATGGGTTTAGTACAACAGTTAAGCCCACTTGTGTTTTTTAGTCAACTCACAACTATTCACACCAGTGTTTTGAATCGAATAAAAAGGAATTAGCAAAGGACGTACCAGTGTTGCAGAGAACAGATGCCATGGAAGCCACTGAAGCCCACTTGCTGATCTTCTTCTCACTGCTTGGGAACCTGAAGGCCGTTGCAATTGGACACACAATAATACACAACATATCACAGCGTGCTCAGGAATAGTTAGGGGTTGCCTTCCCTCCCTCAAAAGACGCTGTGAATAGAGGTAAAGAGAGACTTCACGATGTTTTGTTGCCTCGCATCCACTGAAAAGCATTTGAAGCACAAAACTTCACAACATGTCCTTTATCCCCTCCCTTCCCAATCCTTCCCTTCTCCCTTCCCCCTCCCACTCCCTTACTTCCCCTCCCCTCCCCTCCCATCCCCTCCCCTCCTCCCCCTCCCTTCCCTTCCCTTCCCCGTCCCTCCCCTCAGCACTTCCACTCACGTGGACGTATCACCAGCAGTCCCGTGTTGACCATGCTATCCGCCTCCTCGCCATGGCAGCCTGCGCGCAGTAGAGCCCACCTGATTTATCCGTCACTTACTTAACTGCAGTAAAAGTCCCCCGGTTGACCATGCTATCCACCTCCTCGCCCACCTCCTCGCCCACCTCCTCGCCCTGGCAGCCTTCCTCCCCGAAGAATTTGATCTGTGCGCAGTAGAGCCCACCTGGCCTACTCGTCACTTACTTGGCTGCAGTAATAATCCCCGGGTTGACCATGCTATCCACCTCCTCGCCCACCTCCTCGCCCACCTCCTCGCCCTGGCAGCCTTCCTCCCCGAAGAATTTGATCTGTGCGCAGTAGAGCCCACCTGGCCTACTCGTCACTTACTTGGCTGCAGTAATAATCCCCGGGTTGACAACACTGTCCACCTCCTCGCCCTGGCAGCCTTCTTCCCCGAAGAACTTGACCTGCGCGCACGGAACACCCTGCGCCTCGCTGCTCGAATCACTGTTGCTCGAGCCCCCGTTGCTCGAACCCGTGTGAGCTGAGCCCCCATAGCCCGAGTTTCTGTGGCCCGAATACCCGCCGTAGCTCAAGCCCCCGTAGCTCGAGCCCCCATAGCTCAAGCCCCCATAGCCCGAGCCCATGTGGCCTGAAAACTCGCCCTTGCTCGAGCCACCGTAGCCTGAGCCTATGTGGCTTAAATACCCGCCCTTGCTTGAGCCCCCGTTGCTCGCGCCCCAGTAGCTTGAGGCACTGTGGCCCGAATACGCGCCGTTGCTCGAGCCCCCACCGCCCGTCCACCACACTTTCACGGTACCCTGCCTAGCCGCCTCCTTGGGCACGCTCACGCAGCGCTGCTTGCTGAAGCTCCATTGCAGCCCTCCAACCTCCACCTCAGTCGCAACCTGCATGGTCGGTGCCTCACTGGTGCTGCCTGTGCTGCTGCTGCCCGTGCTGGTGCTGCCCGTGCTGGTGCTTTTTGGCACTGTGCCATGTGCAGCATTCAGCATGCTACGGCGTGTCATGCGCTTCACCGTGTCGTCGCCATGCACTGCCTTCATCATCTGAGCTGCTGCAGAGGACAAAAGAGAGGATGTGCGGAGAAGAAAACAGAGAGCAGATGTGATCATGTGAGAGAAAACAGGAGTTGGGAGAGAAAACAGGAGTTGGGAGAGAAAACAGGAGTTGGGAGAGAAAACAGGAGTTGGGAGAGAACAGGAGTCCGGAGAAGAGAGGATAGAGCTGAAAATATAGAGGACGTGGAAAGCAGAAGGTAGCAGGAAGGAGAGAGCAGCGAGAAAGGCATGGACCTCAGAGGCCCCACAGCATCTACCATGGGAGCGAAGGCCTCATACTATGCAAGGCCCCCTCTCAGATCACAAGTCACAGAGTTTGCAGAGATGAGAGCGAAGAAGACTGACAAATTAGGGCAAGGACGAGCAGAAGGATTCATGCAGGTTGACTTTTGAGTTGACTCAAAAGTCAACGCTCAAATCACAAGTCATTGAGTTTGCAGAATCGAGAGCGAAGAAGACTGACAGATTAGGGCAAGGGCGAGCAGAAGGATTCCGGCAGGCGAGGCGCGCATCGGCCCCATGACGATGGGGTCCCGCTGGAAAGGCGGCGGAAGCGGAGCAAAAAACAAAATTTTGTGCGGTGACGTGTGGTTCACGCCGGTTTAGAGTCACGCGGAGGGTGATGCTCCGGTGTAGAGTGCGGAGTGTAATTGAGGTGTCCGTTTCGTTCAACTCCCTAACACCACGCCTTTCTCTTCCAATGCGAAGGACAGCGCAGGAAGGAGTACGGTAGGATGAAAGAGACGGAAGATTTGGAAGGCTTGCGTCTGGCCTGGACTGTGCGGTGATTCAAATTGGGAGTTACGATCATGAGCCGAGCGAAACACTGTTACGACCAGTCGCTGCGCCATGGTAGCGAACTCCTGGATGTGTGCTTGGCTCGAGGTGACTTTTGAGTCGACTCAAAAGTCACCTCTGTTACGACCAGTCGCCGCACCATGGTAGCGAACTCCTGGATGCGTGCTTGGCTCGATTGAGCCGCTGAAACGGAATCTATCTGAATGTTAGGAACGCGATGCATGCTTGGCTCGCGTGAGGACTAGCCAATCTGAATTCGGGAAACGCGATACGGGCGACGGTCGCTTGGAATGGACAGAGTGTACTAGCGTTCGCGAACCAATAGCGCAATGCAGAGGCTTTCGACAAGGCATTTTCTGTTCGCGGTTCAGGAGCATTATACCGTATCGGCCTGCATTATGCGACTCTTCAGGCTCGTCGCACTGGGATAGGAAGAAATGGAAGGAACGCGAAAGGTAGCTTGTCTGTTTGGCTGCTCCGTGTGAGGCGCTGGGGTCTATTGCTCAACCAATTTTCAAGGCCGTATCCAGAAACACCTCGAGTTGAAGGTTAGACTATTTCGGAGTTCGCTGCCAAATTTTCGCCACATTCGCCTCTACGGAAAAGAGTTGCGAGAAGATTGCGAAGGTAGGTACCACACCAGAAGTCGAAAGAACAACGGTACGTACCGTAAAAGCGAACCAGAGGTCCTCCGAAATTGTGATTTAGGGAAGGGTTGTGAATCTCGATTGGGCCGGGGCTGATTTGGGATACACCGTCATACCCGCAAGAATGAACGCGATAGGGAGGGGGATACAGCGAATAGTGACCGTCATCACTGGTCAAACACCGCGAATTTCCCCTTCCCGCCTATTTTCCGGGGGCTCATCGCCTGGAGAGCCACATACGTACTCGTTTCAGCGATTTCAGTAGCCCAAGGTTTGTCACCCAAACAAACAATAACTTCTACATACGGAACCACTAAACCGGAACACGTCCAGGGAATGATCTCTCTCTATATGCATTCATCATATACTTACAAAATGGCAAGTCCTAGTCATGAAATCAGGACAAGATTACCGCACATGCCAAATTTACTGGAAAAAAAAAACATCTCACTTTGCAAGCATGGAAAGGGTAACCTACATATAAAGCCTCAACCATCAGGATTCCACAACCAAAATATTATGGGGTATTGGAAAGCAGAGCATGTACCGTATGTCAGAGACCTCGCTAGTGTTTGAACCTGCCTGACGGGTCAGACGGGCCCTTCGAGCCCATCTTACCCATCAGAATTATTTGTAACATGCGTCTATTACCGTACATCAGAAATTTTCTAAGATCAAGACTGTTCAATCAGACGTCACAGCAAAGTTAGCCTACTGCCTAGGTTACACTACATTTAGCAGCGCATCGTTAGATGTCATTAAAAATGCACGAAGTGCAATTCATCCTAACTACTCAGTGTCAGAGTCACTATCAAGCGCCAGAGTTCCACGAACATCTACACCATGGTCGTCATCACTGTCACTGTCCACTACTTTAGCCTTTGCCTTTCCCTTCTTCCTGCACAACTCCTCGTCATCCACGGGCTCGTCTTCAGCCACTGCCTTGGATGCTCCTGCATCTGGCTTTGCCACTGCCTTGCGCTTGCAGCTCTCAGGCAGACCACTCACTTCCTTTGCTGGGCGACGTTTCTTCGCACCACGCCACAGATTGACGACATCATCCCAGTCCGGCTCATAGTCGAGCAGAGAAATGCACATGAGATCCCCTAGTCTCGCGTCACAAAGGTTGGTGCGAATCCATGACTTGACAATGTTCTGGCGGCTGAAACCGCGCTCACACTCGACAGTGCTGAGCAGGAATAGATGAACTAACAGGATGCAGGAGTACAAGTAGTAAACCCTAATTGGGTTGTACCCCATATGGGCTACCCCACTACAGCCTAGACAATATGCAGCACATATAGTTTGACACACCCCCATAGGCAAAGTGGGGGAGAACAAGGGGTCACACGACCAGTCAAGAGAAGCAAAACAAGCTCAGGGTGGATCACAACGTCACCACGCATTCCGAGCACAAGCAAAGGGCCACAGGGCCAGTTCACATGCAGAGATATATATGCAGCAATAACAGTACAGTGATGGCTACCTAGCAAGAGCCAGCATGCATATATATATATATGTACAGATCACAGTACAAGCAGAGACTACAGCAAGTGTGGAAACGTAGGCACAAGGCCTAACAGAGTACAAAAGCGCTGATGATCACCAGACGGAAGTGCCTTGGTGAATATATCAGCAGTGTTGGCCCGAGTGGCCACGTGGCGAAGACGAAGCTGGCCTCGCTGCTGCAAATCTCGAGCCAGGAAGTAACGCAGAGCAATGTGCTTCGTTCTGTGCTCCAGTCTATGCTCCTCACACAAGGCAATGGCGGCCTTGTTGTCGACGTACAGCACTGGAGGAGAACGAGGCTGCTCTCCCAAGTCAGTCAGCAGGTAGGTGAGCCAGCGTAACTCCTGTGCAGCCATGGCTGTGGCGTAGATCTCAGCCTCACAACTGGAGCTGAGAAAAGAAGACGAGCGTGTAGAACGCCACGAAACTGAACCAGAGCCAAGGCTGAAGGTGTAACCCTGTGACGACCGCTGAGTAGCCTGGTCGTCAACCCAAGAAGCGTCTGAGTGCCCAGTGAGGACAACTGGGCTCGTCCCTCCAAGCACTAGCCCCATGCCTGATGTGCTGCACAAGTAGCGCAGTACCCTCTTAGCAGCAGCCATGTGCTCAGGTCGGTGCCGACCAGGAGCCACGTAGCGAGCCAGAAGACCAAGAGGGTACGCGAGGTCAGGTCGAGTGCAAGTCATCAGGTACATGAGGCAGCCGACTAGCTCTGGGTAAGGACCACTCGGCTCTACGGACTCGTCCGAAGGTGGAGCTGAGAGCGTGTGACCTGTAGCCAGAGGAGTGGCCTGTGCTGAAGACCAGGTGAAGCCGAAGCGCTGAAGGACCTGCTGCACCATGTGTGACTGAGTCAAGGTGATGGTGCGGCGTGCTCTGTCCCGGGTGATCTGCAAGCCAAGGTAGCTGCGCAGCTCACCCAAGTCTGTGCACGTGTGTCTCTTCTGCAGCTCCGACTTCACATGGGCGAGAGCCTCAGTGTCAGCAGTGGCAAAAACCAAGTCGTCGACGTACACGAGGATGTAGAACGGCGGCAGTGAAGTGTCGGTGCGCAGAAACAGCAACGGGTCAGCAGTAGAAGGCGCGAACCCAAGAGCCGCAAGCGTAGTCCTCAGTGTGTCGTGCCACTCACGTGGCGCCTGGCGGAGACCGTAGACCGGCCGCCGGAGGCTCCACTGGGTACCAGGAGGGAACGACCCAGTGAAGCCCAGGGGGCGGCGCAGCCAGATCTCCTCGTGCAGGCTGCCCTGCAAGAAAGCTGTGCTGAAGTCAAGAGAGTGAAGCTCGTAGTCACGGTGAGCAGCAACGTGCAGCAGCACCCGAAGAGTGGTCATCTTCGAGGTGGGGGAGAAGGTCTGGAAGAAGTCAACTCCCTCTCGCTGACTGAAGCCTCGAGCAACGTAACGAGCCTTGAAGACAGGCGGAGAACCTGGCGGCTGCTTCACCCTGAAAATCCACATGCCACTGACGATGTTCGCCCCAGGAGGGGGAACCTCGTCGACGTAGGTGCCAGTGGACTTCCAGGATGCCATCTCTGCGTCCATGGCTGTCTGCCACTGAGAGGAGTACTCACCCGCGATCGCCTCAGCGTAAGAGCGCGGGGTCGGAATGTCTGGTGCATCCGGGTCTCCCTCAGGGGCAAGCAGCATGGCAACGAGATGAGGCGCAGCGGCTGCAAGACACTCAAGGTCCTCGTGCCTGTCCTCAAGGACGTCCGTGCTAAGAGCACACTCACCCCCGACGGACGGAGGACAGACAGACTCAGACTCAGCAACAAGACTTGCAGCGAAGTCTAGACGACAGGCAGCAGCAAAGTCAACAAGCTCAGCGACAAGAGCAGACGCAGCAGTAGACTCAAACGACGGGTCAGTGACAACAGTGGCTAGTAGACGCGTGACAGTAGGGTGCTCAGACGCAGGGTCCGGAACGTCAGGCAAAGAGGACGCAGGAGGAGACGACAGAGGAACAGGCTGCGGAGCAGAGGAAGGACGACGGACTACGAGGTGTGTGCTGGGGACAGCCGGCTGACGCGAACGAGGAACACGACGACCGGTACGACCAGGACGAACAGGCGAAACAGGACGCGACGCAGGCTCACGACGCTCAGCAGGACTACCAGTCTGCTCAGTGTAAGGAGAAGGAGCAGGCAGCGGTGAGCCAGGCTGTAACGGAAGACCAGTAGACGACGGGAGAGTAAGAACCTGACGAAGAACAGAGTCAGACGGCGGCAGAGACGACGGAGACGGCGGAGCGAAGAACAGTCGTGTCGGCGCAGCTGCACCAATACCGGCAGCTCCAGCAGCTCCAGTGCCTCCAGCAGCTCCAGTACCTCCAGCAGCTCTAGTACCTCCAGCAGCTCCAGAAGCTCCAGTCCCAGAGCCGACACCTCCAGTCCCAGGGTCTCCAACCTCTGTGTCTCCAGCAGCAGCACCCCCAGAACCAGCACCTCCAGTCCCAGGGTCTCCAGCCTCAGTGTCTCCAGCAGCAGCACCCCCAGAGCCAGCACCTCCAGTCCCAGGGTCTCCAGCCTCAGTGTCTCCAGTACGAGCACCTCCAGAACCAGCGAC